CCCTCCCCCCCTCCTCCTCCTCTCTGGTTCTCCCCCTCTCTTTCCTCTGCGATTCCTCCTCTTTTTTTTTTTCTTCTCTAATTCCCCTTTTCTGTGTTCCCCCCACTGTTCCTCTCTCCTCCACCTCCGTTTCCACTTCCCTTTCCCCTCCTTCTCTCCTTTTATTCCTTTTTATTTATTTATCTTTTTTTTTTCTGTATGTACCAGTCACAGGGATGGTAGAGGACGGGCGGATGCCAATGTGGTGCTGCCCTTGGTGGAGCGCCGATCCTGCCGGAGGGTTTCATGTGCAAATCACAGAAACCGAGACATTTCTATCAATTCAAAGGAAGGAGACCGAAAAATCTATGAAGGGATCTCCTATATGGGGAGAAAAGAAGGGAAAAAGAAAGGGAAGGAAGCAGGGAGGAAGAAAAAGAGGAAGGGAGAAAGGAAGGTAGGAGGGAAGGAAGGAAAATAGGAAGGGAGAAAGGAAGGTAGGAGGGAAGGAAGGGAGAAGAGAAGGAGGAAGGGAAGGAAGGAAGAGAGGATGGAAAAGAGGAAGGAAGAAAGGAAAAGGTATGGGAGGAGGGCAGGGAGGGAGAGAAGGAAGGAGGGAGAGAGGGAAAAGGGAGGAAGGAAAAGAGTAAAGGAAGAAGGGAAGGGAGGAAGAATGGAAAAAAGGAAGGGAGAAAGGAAAAAGGTATAGGAGGAGGGAAGGGAGGCAGAGAGGGAGGGAGGAAGGGAAGAAGACAGGGAGGAAAGAGGGAAGGGAGGGAGAAAGGAAGGGGGGAAGGAAGGAGGGAGGAAGGAAGGGAGAAAGGAAAAAGGTATAGGAGGAGGGAAGGGAGGCAGAGAGGGAGGGAGGAAGGGAAGAAGAAAGGGAGGAAAGAGGGAAGGGAGGGAGAAAGGAAGGGAGGAAGGAAGGAGAGAGGGAGGAAGGAAGGGAGAAAGGAAGGGGGGAAGGAGAAAGGAAGGGGGGAAGGAAAGAGAGAGGAAGGAAGGGAGGGAGAGAGGGAAATAGGAATAAAAAAGTGTGAAGGAAGGAAGGAAGGGGAGGGAGAGTGGGAGGAAGGAAGGAAGGAGAGAGGAAGGAAGGGAGGGAGAGAGGGAAATAGGAAGAAAAAGTGTAAAGGGAAGGAAGGAGGGAAGGGAGAGAGGGAGGAAGGAAAGAAGGGAAGGAGGGAGAGAGGGAGGGAGGGAGGAAGGAAGGAGAGAGGAAGGAAGGAGTCCAGGATGTATGATCAGTGAGTACACCACACGAGTCCTCGATGCCTCTCCCCGTGTCTCCCGTCTCTCCTCCATATACAGAGGACGTCACCCACATATCTGTCTGTCATTGGAGTTTACCATCCCTGCTGAAGGGCCGCTGAGCTAAAATCAATTGGCAGCATAGAAAATATTTTGTTTGGTCTAAGCCAGGGGTGGGCAACTCCGGCCCTCCAGCTGTGCTTTAACTACAAATCCCAACACGCCTCTGCCTCATGGGACTTGTAGTTCCACAACAGTTGGATGGATGAAGTTCCGACCCCTGGTCTAGGCACAGCAGTACTACAAAACTGGAAGCCTGGATATGTAATAAGCAATGTGGCCGCCCCCCGTCTACAGATATTTATAACCTGAACAGAGATGAATAGTTACTGAGGAGATTCTTTCGGGTGATTCTTACCTGCTTGTGTCTTGCAGATACAGACATGCCGTGTGCCGTGTGGGAGGGTCTGTCTGCTATAATCACATGACTAGTCCCAGTTGTGGAATAAAATGTCATTTAATCATCTTCCTGAGGACACAAAACAGAGAAACACATGAGGTATTATTTAACCTGGAGGACTGAGAACATCCTGTGAGTGCAGAGCGCCATGGACCCAGGACGTCTCTATAATAAGGCAGCCTGAATCACTGCTGGGAGAGGAGAGCTGAGCTGCTGAATCACTGCTGGGAGAGGAGAGCTGTATTTTACTTGTCTACCTCCATCACACAGCCGTCCGTGTCTCTGCCGCCTCTCCTGATGATCCAATGCTGCGGTCTGTGCCCCATCGGCCCTGTCACCATCACTGGGCAGTCTGGAGGATAAACTTTCCCCACCCCTGGATAGCCAATAGGGAGTGTCCGTGTCACCCGGCAGTGATTCGGACACCCATGGAAGGACACTCTAGACCCGACGCATCACATGATCACAGATTCGTTTTTTTGGGGGCGATACATTGGAGCGGCCGGGTTACATCATTCCTTACTTACTGCTGGTTAGGAAGATGGAAATCCTTGAACGTCCGTCCCCCTGACCACATGTCCACACGTAAAGGACAAGAGGGCAGATGACGACCTCACCAGTCTTCCGCTTCTCCTTCATATGCATGTCATGAATTTAGCTGCTTGGTTGCAGTTCAGATCAATGGACAGGGGGCAGGCTGAGGGGTGGGCAGAAGAGGCGGCCACCTCGAGCACTTCCGCTGGCCTAGGGGTGGGGGTGGGGGTCTTGGGGGTATGGAGAATGGGGTGCGAAAGGGGCAGTACCTTTTTGTGACCCTCCCCCCATGACAGCTCATGAGGAGCGTTCAACTTGACCTTTTGTGCCTTGGGTACTGGGGGACTTGGCACTGCCAGTGGATCTCTTTTTAAGGGTCGGAGTTGCCTAGAGCAGAGGTAACCAAACTCCGGTCCTCCAGCTGTGGTGAAACTACAAATCCCATGTGCCTCTGGGAGTCATTCGTACGGCTGTCAGAGTCTTGCAATGCCTCATGGGACTTGTAGTTTCACCACAGCTGGAGGGCCGGGGTACCTAGAGGCGTCCCGAGGCCGGGTGTCACCCCCCTTGTCGTCATCGCGCGTGCACGTGAGGTCATCATGATTGACGCCTGCCTTGGTGATGGACGCCGGCAGAGAGGGGAGGGGACGTTCACCCGGCAGGATGAGGTATGTCACCCGGGTCCCCTCCTCTCTCCTGACACTGTTGGGCTCTAAGTCCATGACCGAGTGCCTGACTTTTTAGAGGGGGTGACACCAAAATACCTGTCAATCATTTTGGTGTCAATCCGGGTGCGGGCCGCCCCCGCACTCCCCTTGTGACGCCACTGGGGGTACTCATGCCCTGGAGATAGATAACATGGTCTCTGGCTACAAGATACATTGTGAGCGTTTGACATGATTAAAGACTGCAGCAGGTGTAATGATATGTTCAGAAACACAGAGCTGCAGTGGTTTGGCGTCCAGCTTAGAGGATTTCTTCATATGTGTTAAATAAAAAAAAATTTCTGTTTAGAAATCCCATTAGAAGAAAACCAATTTGAGGATGATGATGTGATAATTCCCGGAGACGATACCCCGTGTAATTAGTTGGGATTCATTAACGGAGCCACAAGGCGGCCCGGGGAATTATTTTCCACTTGCCGGCGATTGAGGTTTATTAGGACCAGTCAGCTCTGCGTCTGTCACGTTTTTGGTTATATTGCCTTCACCCCCCCCTCCATCCCCCACCCCTGGGGAGAGTTCTATATTCCACGGCCGCTTCCTCCTCTCTAATCCTTTCCTCCCGCTCAGCGCAGGTAACAAAGCTCTAATACAAACCTTTCATCATACTGTCAGCGCCTGCAGCAGCTGCGTCACGGCCCTCTCCCGCCCGGGCGCCGCTACTCCCCGCGCTGGGGACTCTCATCTCCGGCGTTCCTGCGGCAGGTAGACGATGTCACGTCCCTGCACGGATCACGCCGCGGAGGATTAAAGACTCACACAAAGCGCGGTGGATCCTTTATTAAATCCAATAATAACAAAGCATATAAATCCCCTCTGTGTGCACCGAATGCCTCTGCAAACCCGGATATTACCTTGTGGAAGTAGCTGTGACATCATCACTGTGCTGTACATAGCCTGTGCAGAGAGCGGAGCTGTGGGAGGGACCCAGCAGGCCCCGCCCACTACAGGAGGGGGTGGAGACAAGACCCGTTAACTTGCACAAGAGAGAGCAGCAGTGACTGGTCTTTATTACAGGACGCTCCTCCCACTGCAGGCTGCCTGCAGAAAAAACAGGAGAGGGGCGGAGACAAGACCAGTCATCTTGCACAAAGAGAAAGATCAGCAGTGAGTGGTCTTTATTACAGGAGGGGGCGGAGACAAGACACGTTAACTTGCACAAGGAGTAAGAGCAGCAGTGACCAGTCTTTATTACAGGAGGGGGGCGGAGGCAAGACCAGTCACCCTGCGCAAGGAGAGAGAGCAGCAGTGACCGGTAAACGTTGCTTGAGTCTTTTAATAAAAAGATTAGCAGCAGTGACCGGTCTTTATTACAGGAGGGGGGGGAGACAAGAACAGTCACCCTGCACAAGGAGAGAGAGCAGCAGTGACCGGTCTTTATTACAGGAGGGGGGGGAGACAAGAACAGTCACCCTGCACAAGGAGAGAGAGCAGCAGTGACCGGTCTTTATTACAGGAGGGGGGGGAGACAAGAACAGTCACCCTGCACAAGGAGAGAGAGCAGCAGTGACCGGTCTTTATTACAGGAGGGGGGGGAGACAAGAACAGTCACCCTGCACAAGGAGAGAGAGCAGCAGTGACCGGTCTTTATTACAGGAGGGGGGGGAGACAAGAACAGTCACCCTGCACAAGGAGAGAGAGCAGCAGTGACCGGTCTTTATTACAGGAGGGGGGGGAGACAAGAACAGTCACCCTGCACAAGGAGAGAGAGCAGCAGTGACCGGTCTTTATTACAGGAAGCTCCTCCCACTACAGGCTGCCTGCAGAAAAGACAGGAGGGGCGGAGACAAGACCAGTCATCTTGCACAAGTAAGGAGAGAGCAGCAATGACCGGTCTTTATTACAGGAGGGGGCGGAGACAAGACCAGTCACCTTGCACAAGGAGAGAGCAGCAATGACTGGTCTTTATTACAGGAGGGGGCGGAGACAAGACCAGTCACCTTGCACAAGGAGAGAGAGCAACAGCAATTGGTCTTTATTACAGGAGGGGGCAGAGACAAGACCAGTTACTCTGCACAAGGAGAGAGAGCAGCAGTGAGCGGTCTTTATTACAGGAGGGGGCGGAGACAAGACCAGTCACCCTGCACAATGAAATGAAGCAGCAATGACCGGTCTTTATTACAGGGGAAGGGTGCCTTTTCCTTTTGTGATGAAATGCGTTACTGTTGTCTGTCAGCATGCGTTTTGATATGCAGGATTTGCAGTGGAGGTAACAGCCATTGACCGAGGCTTGTTAATACCTGCCAATGCATCAGAACTCGTGCACTGTATGTGCGTTGCCAATACCTTCTGTGGGCCTCCCAATGCAGAAAAATGCACATAACAGTGTTTTTCCATAATGTACTACAGAGCTGAGATGGGAACTGAGACTCTTATAATTATGCAGATCCTGGACACATGCGTTTTAGTGTGTCGCCACACATGCATTAAAACACAACAGTGTAAATGTTCCAGTGCAGGGGTAGGCAAACTGCCGCCCTCCAGCTGCGGTGAAACTACAAATCCCATGATGCAGCTGTCTCTGGGAATCATGCCTGTGGCTGAGACTCTTGCAATGCATCATGGGATTTGTAGTTCCACAACAGCGGGAGAGCCAGAGTTTGCTCACGCCTGCTCTGGTGGACCCAACATCGGACATGTGTTTCTATTTTAGGAGCGTGCATGCCATGTAATGTGTATGTGTGATGCTGACAGGCTGGTGACCGGGTTGTGACCGACTTACTGAAGGTGCTGCGAGCCCAAAAAAACCTGTCCTGCCAATGATCCCAGCACTGTCATTGGGCAGTGATCACCGCTCCTTACATAACAATGGTCACCAAGACCATTCCCATCACAGGGCTCGTCATTCCAATGATGAAGGCACAAAATCCTTGTGGTCAAGAAGGGGTTAATGTAAATCTCATTCCCCCGTGCGTTCACGTACAGTATATATATATATATATATATATATATTTATCAGGACGGCCATGTTCCCTCATTACATGTACATGGCTTGCATTGTGTGTGCTTGCTGCTCCTCTCGCCTCGCAATGTTAGTCTGCCTTCTAACAATAGACTCTCTGCAGTCTCTAACGACATGGAACACTCACAGTGCTCCCGATAGCCAGAGATCATGTGACCTAGACTGCCCAGGGCCTTAGGTCACATGAGGCAGCTCAGAAGTGGCAGTGGGCAGGCGATGGCTCCAGGATAATAATGGGATTTGGTGATGCTGACGGCTGGCCTATTCACGTGAAGTTCATCTATTAGAGACGATTCTTCTCTGACGTGTCGTGCAAAGCGCTCTGCTGCGCTGCCCTGCTATCCATATTCACCATGTTAGCAGCCTATACTGCTAGTAACAGGAACGGAAGAATCTGATTGGCTGCTATCAGCAATACAGAGACATCTTCTCAGACACACCGGCTGCTGGCTGAAACCCAAACAGGCCTATTTGATGGGTAAAGTTCTATGACCCGTGACAGCCAATCAGAACTCACTGCAGCAATATGAACTCTGATTGGCGGCCCTGAATTAGAGCACTCTGGTAGGAAATTTATCAAAACTGGAGCAGGCAAAATCTGGGAGCAGTTGCCCATGGCAACCAATCAGCTTCTCTGTTTGTTTAGTTAAGATTTGAAAATGAAAGAAAGATGCTGACTGGTTACCATGGACAACTGCTCCAGATTTGATAAGTTCCCCTCTCTGTGTATTATCGCTGGCATTGGCCAATAGTAGGCTGTGCTGCCC